ACAGAACACAAAACCCGTTCTAGTCCTGCTTCGGGCGGTTGTGGGTGGGTTCCACGTTACGAAGACGGCGCGACCCACGACCACTTCATGGGTGGGGCGCGCCGTGGCACTGTGACACACCCTGAACCCTAAACCCTAAACCCTGAACCCTGAACCCTAAACCCTGAACCCTGAACGTTGAACCCTAATGCCCAAACGCCAAACCCAAACCCGGTACCTTAAGCCCAGCACCTGCCTCCAACAGCATTCTCGCACGGGCCTGCACAAAGAGCCCTTGTGCCCGATCCCGGTGAAAATCGTAGTTGTGGCTTAGGATCGCAATCAGCCTCACTTGCTGAGCTCGGGGTTTCGGGATTTACTTGGGGCATAGGATTCAGGTGCGGTTATGGACTTTGTGATGGTCTTGGAAAACAGATGAGCTTTGCCCCTGCATTTTCGGCGGAAGTGGCTATCCTTGACATGCAGTTTGGTGGGGAAGGGGCTGTTGTAAACCGGAGGGTTAAAGGTGGAAACTTGCCTACCATGCACCAGAGTAGCAGGTTCATGAGCAGCACCGTAATGCCAATCCCGGTGCAGAAGAAGCAGAACTGCAGGTAGATGTACGAGCGCTGCTCCAAGTCTTTCGGACTAGGGTCATTCGGTGCCCACTCGCCCTCTACTTGCTCAAAGGTAGTGTCTTGGCCCTGGTATTCAAAGAGGTCAAAGTCCCCGAAGATGGCTAATCGGACTGTGTGTGTGAATGCAGAGTACACAGGAAAATCGTCCTCGCCTGGGGCTCACGTTGCGGCGGGTGTTCGGGCTGAGGGTTTAGAATAACCCAAAACCAACTACTGTAAACATCTTTACGCCATACTTGGAGGTTCATGGGTGGTTATAAGTGGGGTTATAAGTAGGGTAACTATAGTTATAACCCATATTAGGGGACTTGTAACCCTAGTTAAAACTACCCATGAACCTCCAAGTACCTTTAATCCCCGAAAGTCGAAGATCTCCCTTCTGACTTACAGACTGTTCTTGACTTCGCCTCGCGGGTTCATGATCACGTAGGCATGGGTCGCACTGGCGATGCAGAGGGAGGTGACGAAGAAGAACGGCCCCGTGTCTCGAACGGCTAACAGAATGGGCAGAAAATAATAGCCCAGCCACCGCTCTCCACGAAGGCTGTACCTGCAGCCCAAAAGGGGTTCGGGGTTTCGGCTTCCTCAATGTGAAGCCCCACATGTACCCTTTAAACATTCGGTCTGTTGGGCTGCAGGCACAAGAGTCGGAGCCAGCACATCGAACAAAAGCCTGGCAAGAAGATAGGCTCCAACTCTTGATTGACACAGAGATCCATCTGGCGATAGATCGCACCCGAGCCTGGGCTCTTGCCAAGGAAAGCAACCAAACCGAAAACACTAATAAAGAGATATCATATACTGCACAGCATGCTTTTCCTATCGTGGACCCCTCACCCTATCCTTACCCCTAAACTCTAAACCTTAAGCACGAACCCAGAAGCCGGCTGCCAAGAAGAGCAGATCAACCAGAGTTTCCAAGCTGGGTGCAGGATGAACCCACAAGATATCCTAGGTGTTGAGTTTAGGTTTAAGGTTTAGCGTCTTGGGTTTAAGGTTCAGGGCCCTATATTGAACTTGAAAGGAAATTAAACGTTATCCCAAACGGTACGGAGTATCTGCATCACCCAGCAGCTTCACGTCCTTTCCATTCACGCGATCCACATGCCTGGCTTCGTCGAGATCTTTCAACTATCATTTTCTTAGTGGCTCCATCAATCTCCGATGCAAACGAACCAAAATCTTCTCGAAGCTTCCCCAAGACACGCGCGACACAGTTCAGCCCGCTCCTTGCGTCTGCGGGACAGACGGCTCCAGCAGTAGAAACCAAGCTGCGAGAGCAATTCCGCAGCCTCTTTGAACTGTATGATTGCCAGGACCCATAGTGCAGGCCTCGGTTCAAGTTTAAGGTTTTGGGTCCATGACTGGACACTTGAAGAGTCGTCGGTCTTAGACAGTGAGGATACAAGCCGACGCTTCAGTTGGGCAGCGAACGTGGAATTCAAGAATCAAGGCAAACCGCTGGGGCACGGGCTGGGCATCCATACCTCCGTAGCGGCATGCCCAAGTTGCCAAACACAAACATCCCAAAGCCACGCAGTTCAGGAAACTGTCCACGGCGGTGGCCATGCGCATCTGAAGCCACGCCGCTGCGGTGATGGCTTCCACAGCTTCTGTTTCTAGTGTCTCCTCGTTTTCGGTCTCTGCCAGTGCTGCAAGCACCGACGGCTTGCATGCCAGAGGTGCCGCGATGGGTAGGCTTCGCAAGGACACTTGTACTTCCTTGGCATAGAGCATATTGTGCCAGCTCAGATTGAATGCATCGACATCTTCCGACTTCTTTTTTATGACGTCTGCAAAGCCGTACATGGACTTTCGACGACCCTCAAAAAAATTCTGCACCTCAGTGTCCGACAACTGGAAACCAGGGAGGTGCATGGCGGCCATTCAAACGCTTGCTAGCTTAGTGACCTGGCTCACATGTAAGAGCTATTGACAGACTGACTGCGGTCCTGGCACCCCCTGCGTGTCCCATGCATAGTCGCAAAGGACCGTGCGTACGCGTTCCTTCAATCTCTCAGAACGGAATTGTCCCGGTTCAACCTGCCAGGTCTCGATCCAACTTCTTGAACTGGTGTCTTATGATCATGCAACGAGGGCAGGGGTTCCATGACTTTGCTATATGCTGAACTTGCACAAACAGGTCACTCACAGGACATAAGTCGATGCACCACCGCCTGCATCAGCAGTTTGTTCAAGCACGTAGCTTGTTCGTGTTTGAGCTATGCAGCTAGGCATGTGCAATCGGGTTGGTTACATGGATTGCTTCTTTCTGTTCTCCTTTACCACTTACTCTTTCGTTGCTGACATAACGGAACCCGTGGTTGTTTCCGTTACTCATTCGACTTTCCCTTACTGCGTCTCATTTTCTTTCACGCACACTTTCTTCTTCTTCGCCAGGTCATAGGGAGCTGTTTAGGCCCCCCCCCCGGCCTTCAGGCCCCCCTCTCTCTCTCTCTCTCTCCACTTTCTCTCCCCCTTAAGGGAAGTGTTCTTTCGTCGGATCAACATGCTGATGACACGGGCTTGTTCACAAAACTGCCCGGCCTCTTTCAGCAAGCCACTAACCATTTCTGTGAAATTCTGCCCTTCTCCACGCAGCAGTGACACGAGCATGCGCAAGGTCCGCTTCTCGTCCATCCGCGAACTCTGCGCAGTCTTCTTTCGCTCCTGATCCACGGCGTGATGCAGAAGAAACCACATGTGGATGTCGCAATTCGGCGAGCAGAAAGCTGCCGAGAGCGCTGTGAGTCCATCGGAATCTGTCGCATCTACATCGGCTCCGAACTTCAGCAGCTCCCGAGCAACATGGCTGTGGCCCAAGACGGCCGCTGCAATGAGGGCTGTGAGTCCATCGGAATCTGTCGCATCTACATCGGCTCCGAACTTCAGCAGCTCCCGAGCAACATGGCTGTGGCCCGAGACGGCCGCTGCAATGAGGGCTGTGGTTCCCAGGCTTTTGCCATCTCTGGGCAGCCCCCGCGTTTCGGCGAGCCTGCGAAACTCTGAAGGCTCTGGGGCGAACCGGGACGTCTCTTTACCAATCTCCAAATAGTTGGGATCGTAGTCGTAGACCGCCAAGAACTCCTCCACCTGAGAGATGTCCCAGAGGACAACCAAAAAATCTATTGCAAAACCGGGCGTGCCTGAGGACCTCATAGATACCTTTATAGGAACCCGTCTGGCAACCCGAAACCGCAGGAGCGTAGGATCCTGTAACCTCCTCCAAGTCGCCTTGTTCAGGTCGCCCCTTCCTGCAGCCTCCACCAAGCTGTCCTCCTCTTTGGCCTTCTCGCCCTCAGCACTTGCACTCACCCGGAAGTTTAGGGTTTAGGAAGTTTAGGGTTTACGTCCGTCTTGGACACTCGACACTCGAAGGGGACACGTTACATAGATACCTCATGAAGAGAACCCTTAAACCTTCGGAACCAAAACCCCTGAAGCCTTCAAAACTGCGCTAGCATGAAGGCCTGCGCAGACAAAGCTCCTACCCTACGAAAGGCTCAAACCCGTAAAACCTAAACCCTTGAAGCCCCCAAACCTCAAAGGCACAAGCCGAACTTCATAAAAGCCCGCCTGGCTCTGGAACCCCTCGGGGGCCGCCAGGGCCAGATCTCCCGTTGGCTGCTCCGCCTTGACGGGATCTGCTGCCACCTTTGGGATTTCAGGGTCTTGCTTCTTTCTGTTTTGGGGTCATAAGGGTTTCCGATACTTGCTTCAGGGTTCAAGGCTTTAGGGGTTAAGTTTAGGATTTGGGGTCTTGATGCTAAGTGCTTTAGACTTTCGGGTCTTTAACGTTTTGGCTCTTTAGGGCTTTTGGGGTATTGGGGATGCGAGTTTACGGGTGTGGGGTTTGGTTCCTGGTTTAGGAACTCTGAGCTGTAAGCCAAACTCTAGGGAGGTTTTAAGATTTAGGGTTTAGGGATTTAGGGCCAAGGTCTAGGGTCCAGGGTAGCCCCACTGGTACGTCACTGCTCTTAGGGTATTAGAGTTGAGGCTTTGAAAGGTCCCATATCTTTTTAGAGTGTAGGATTTAGGGGATTTCACTTCCTGGGAATACCTTGCATGAGTGCAAAACATGACGGTGTCCATCATCATCGTAAAGTGTAATATGGGTATGGTATGGTGATTCCGACACTCATGCTCCGTGCTGAGATGAAAGCAAGGCATGCCATACGTGTTGGCGTGAGGACCATGCTTGTTCATGGTGCGACAAGACAGTTATTGATCAGTTGTGCCGCGCACTCAGGAAGCACTACTGCTACCATTATCACTACTACCAGTACAATGCTAGTAGCTGTTATACTAATAGTTGCTCGATTAGTGGCCGTTGCTATTGCTGCGAAACTGGTGGTGCCATGATTGTTCTGATAATGGCGTATGGCCGATTTCACTGGTGACTCCTCGTCTGCAGCTGCCACCTATAGTCAACTATGCCATCTTAGCATGCGGATCACGAAGATACGGCTTCAGGGTTTTGGGGTTCGCAAGAATTTGCGACGGCACCCGAAACCCGAGTAGCTGCATCACCCTTTATCCCGTCCACATCCTTCCAATGCGACGAAGCAGCCGTGCTCGAATGTCTGTCGGTTATCGCCTTAATTTGGGGGAAGTCTGGCATCAGTTCAGGGTTAATCGCCGATGGTCACAGACGGTGTCTTTCAACGACTTGTTCACTGTTTATACATGCTGCTAGACACGAGATGATCATAGTTGTCACTTGACGGCATGGGTGTTTGCCTAAGACTGTCTGGTGGGTGGGCAGGCGGGCGGGCAGGGCAGAAAGGGAGCGGGCGGCAGGCGTTTCGCCGGTGGCGGGTGGGGGCTGAATATGGGTGGGCTTAGATGTTCCAGAAGGTCTACGGAAATTGAAGTTTCGGCGGGTGGGTCACAGTCTGCTTTAAAGAAGCTTCACGGCCCCGGGGTTCGGATTAGGCTTGAGTTCGTTCTTCAAGGTTCAGCTGCTTCCGAGGTTTAGGACAACAGTTCGTGGTGTCTGACATCATGCTCAAGAAGCAGATCGGCAGGACCCCGAACCCTAAACTTTGAACCCGAAGCATTCAGAAGAGCAGTGACACAAGGTCTTCTACCGTTTCAACAACCCTCAGCAGATCCAGGGAGCCCCTGTGACTATGACGCGGAATGCCAGTGCTGCCAGCCAACATCGGCTTTTGCTGAGGGCCTTACCCGAACCTGCAAGAGGCATGGTTCCTTTGGGGCTTTGGGCTTACGGTTCAGGGTTTAGGGTTTGGTGGAAATTGAGCAGAGCCCTCTACCATGGGCATTGATTAAGACTCCCTCAAGGGAGGGATTCCTCAACCGATCCGTTTGTTCTTGATTCGGGGGAGCTCTGAAGTGGGAGATCCTAGAATCGAGAAAGCTGCCCGACCCCCTGCTGATAGGATTGTATATGATCCTTCCGAATACGAGGCAGAAAACGTCTGCAAAATCTCGGAGCCCAATCCCCTGAAGCCTACATCCTGCGCTAATGTTGTCTAGACACCACGCTGCACTGGCACCCGGACGCACATACCGTGAAATTATCTGGCGGTGTGCTCGGTATGCAGGTGTTCTCGTTAGGAATCGCAGTATTCCTTCTCCCTTCCTAAACCCTAAACCCTAAACCCTCCTCCCTTCATGGCAGCAACGCAACACCGGCCCACAAACCCCAAACCTTCCTTGTGCCCCAGGATCCCGGTCTAGGGTTTAGGGATCCTTCTTTGTTCAATATACTAAACATAACGCCAAAACTCTACACAAATTATTCTCGCCCCCTTTCAGGTACCCCTTCTGGCCTTCTTCGTCGACTTCGGCTTTGGCGGCCTTGGCTTCGCGGCCTGCGACGAAGCGGTCGAGGTCTCATCCACCACCTAGGTAAAGGCGGCCTCCGAGAGACTCGCCAAGTCGGCCTCGTCGCGAACCTGCAGGGTGTAGAGCTCAGGGGTGTAGGGTTTAGGGCTTAGGGTTTGGGGTTTAGGGTTCAGGGTTTAGGGTGCAGAGCTTAGGGTTTGAGGAATTTCGGGTTTGGCGTGTACGGTTTAGGCTTTAGGGTTGGGGCTGAGATGTAAATTCATACGGTTCAAGGCAATGGTATTCGACCCAACTCTTCGCAAAGTTAAAATGGGAGGGTGGGAACTGAAGAGGTAATGGTGCAGCAGCTTGAACATGTTTTCTTCGGATTTGGGACTCGAAAACGAACCGTCGAAACCGGTTGAAGCTGGTGGATTTTGTTGCAAACCGTTCCAGTCGTGACTTAAACATCTTTCAACACGCGGCTAATAGCTCCGGACTTCGAAACTTAATGCCAAATCCTGCTATTGAAAGCGTCATAAACCCAGGAACAAGGCCCATGATGCAGCCAGTGGACCTCGCTCATCGGCCGGATCTCAAGTCAATACATGGGCGCCCCTCCACATCACAGCTTGGACGCATGCATTTCTGCGACAGGAAGCAGCCACGGCATGAAGTGTTGTAGTGACCCAGTCCAGCAATGGACAACATAACATCGAAAACATGCTCGGTCATCATTGGAGATCTTCATCTAGCTGGTTCAACACCAAAGATCTGCGTCGGTTGATGACACCCCAAACTTTGGAGTCCAATATGAACTTCATGACTAAGGTTTGCTTTTGACAAACAGAATCTGTCTGCACGGCTACGAGGCATCACCTCCCAACTTTCACCCCGACCTGGACGCAAATTAAGAGTGTTTATGAAAGTTTAAAAACGCTCTACATTGTTAGACTGTTCGACGAGACAAAGAGCACAGAACAAACAAAGATTCTTGCAATCTCAATGCACTATTCGGTTGTTTCAGTTTGAAAACTGGACGGAGCTGGGGAAAGCCGTGGCGGGCAGCTTTCGGCTTCATTCACAGCCAGCACACAGAACTGGAAGTTGAATCAGCAAAGGGCACGAGGTTTCATGCGCAGTAACTGAAGTTAAATTTCTCACAAACAGCGGCCAGGCCCGTCGCAAAACTTTTTTTTTGGTCTTAACTTTTCTTTTTCAGTCAAACCTTCCAAAAACATGCTTTTGTGCCTCTTCAGTCGTGTGAAAACAACTTCTTGGAGCTTTCACACACATCTGAAACTCTCTAAGCAGCTCAAAGCAACGGTCCTTTCGACCTTAGGGTCAAAAGCGGGCCTTGGAAGCATACAATGACAGCGTGACAGCAGATGATAAGAATTCAGAACGAAATTAAGATCATGGTAACACGCACACTGGATCTCTATGCATACGAAAGAGAAACAAGTTCTGCAACTTCTTCAATCGTTCCTTCTTTTCGACAGATAGAGAAGCTATGATGATTATAATCAATTCAAGAATGTCGAAAAAGTGCTTTCATAAACTGGAGGCCCTTCCAGCACTTGGCAAATCTTGACAATTTCCGGACCAGAAGCAGAGAAAGAAAAACAGCAAACTTGCCAAGTCTTCCTAAATCTTTGGCAGGAAACTGCAAGAAAGCAAAGCACTGAAAATCTGTTGGAAGTCTGCTGGAAAATCACGAAAATGGAGCTTGCAACAAAAACCCGCAATTAGAAAAAAGACCGAGAGGAGGAAACAGACAAAACATGGAAAATCGAGAAACCAAGAAAACAGCTCGGAAACGTGAAAAACCGTTTAGACAATCAGAATCTGTAAGCAGAAAAGCTTCAACAGAAACGTTCTGCAACAAGAACTGTAAACAGGGTCTTGCAGTACATGTTACGTCCGGACCCAGAAGTGAGAATGCCCAAACGAAAGTCGTAGCACCTCTTTTAAAAGCTCCCAAGCAGGAAAACAAGTGAGACACAGCCAAAACCACAAGCACTGCTCAGAAAGGCACCAAGCATCTGAACTACAAAACTCTTAGGAAAACAAACTTGTACCAAGGAAAACTCTGTGGTAGCTGCATTCTAGACACAGATTCCAGCTTGGGCGATCTCGGGCATGCTAATAAGCACCAAAAAGCTTCGACGCCCAGAAAAGAACCACAGAGAACAGCTACAGCCAGAATGGGAAACAGAGAACTTCGTTGGAGCCGTAGAAACACTGGAAACCTGCAGAATCACCGAGGCTTTGGGGGGCTTAGGGTTTCAGGGGCTTAGTGAAGCACTCCAGAGCTGAGGCAGTTGAGGGGCTTGGTCTGAGGAGCCAGCACGTCGGGAATTTTGGGGGTGCAGCGACCCGTGTTTTAGGGTTTAGGGCTCTCGCAAAGCTCTACTACTCACACCAGCCACCAGTGAATACAGCGTATCGCCCTGCATGCACGATGCTCATGGGACAAAAAGCCTCATGCTAAAATTCGATACTCCGAGGCCTCCCTAAACCCCACACCCTAAATCCTAACCCTTCTTCAAAGAAGCCCAAGCAAGCCCTGACGACACCCGAGTTTGAGAGTTCGTAGGAATCCTGCAAAATGGTCATCCAGACAGACGGTACAGACACGACTCAAGGCAGGCGACCAGGAATGCTGAATCTCCGTCAGACATCGACATTTGTGCAAAAAGATTCCGTCCAGAATGATTTGCGACATCATACTTACCGCAGATACTGACCCAAGACATCCCCTGTGGAAGCCATCCTTTTTCCGGGTCGAGAAGCAGCAACAACCACTGCAAACTATCTTCCATGACAACAATCTTGCTGAGGTCCTTTAGGTCACTGCGCATGCTCCGAAAAGCGTCCGAAGCGGCTTCCTTCCAGGCCGATGGGAACTGAATGAAGGATTAGAGAAGATAACACTCTGTGGTTCTAGAGGCTTCCTAGCCGTTTCGGTTCTGACTTTGAGCTAAACTACGTCAAGTTTCTGCCGTTACGGTTTACGCATTTTTGGGGGTATGAACCCCGAACATGCCAAACACCTGATACGCCCCGAAACTCAGAGCGAAAGTCCGATCGAATGACTGCATGGAGCCTTTTGAGGTTCTTGCTTGAACGACCGGGCTCAGCGTTTAGGGTTTAGGGTTTGGGTTAAAGGTTTAGGGTTCACGGTTTGGGTTAAGGGTGTAGGACTTAGGGTTTGGGGTTTCAGGTAACTCGGGATTTTGGGTCTAGGACGTAGAGACTCAGGAATCGATGTCATATGGTGTTTGCGGTTCAGGAAGACGCATCACCACTTAAAATTGAAACTCGCGATGTGTCTGAACGTAGAGCTTGGGGATAAGGCTTCGGATCGTTGTCACGGTTCAGAGATTATATAGCAGAGCCCTCAATCCATGATAAATGCGCTGTGGGGTCCGTCCGGACCAGCGCATACATCTCACACTCCTCGGCAAAGCGATCACCAAAGAGGCCGAACAGGCTGAGGTTGAGCGTGTAGCGAATGCCTTCAAGGGTTTAGGGCTTAGGGCCTTTAGGGTTTAGGGTTTAGGGTTGGGGGTTTAGGCTCTCAGTGAGTTCTACAAATATGTTGCCAGGTGCGTTTTTATGGGTTTTACACAGCTTAACGATTTGTGGATTTGGGGTGTCCGGTTGTTCCATCCCTCAGAGGTGTCCTCGAGTAACTGAGTAACAAAACCTAAGGACCCAGGAAACATCTTACTGGAATCATTCCCAAGTCAGGGACACTGACGTTTCTGAATTCTGAAACCCTCGGCCGTTCCGACTGCCGGGGCCTGTGACACGACTGTCAGCACCAGGATGATGAACGTAAACGCCAGCAGGCTCACCAGAGACCCGGCGAACAGCACCACACACGCTACCTCTTTTCTTCCATAACCAAACCAAAAAACTCAAGCTGTAGAACAAGCTGTAGAATGTAGACCAAGCAAACAACCCAAGAAGACTTAGGGGCTTCCCGTTTTTGCCGGGTAAGCTGCAGGAATGCCAACGGCCAAGAAGTGCTGGTTCGCGACAGATGCGACAGGGCTCCAGAGAGCGTGCTGCAAGAATCGTTCGAAGACTTTCTTCTGGTAAGACGCCCCAGGGACAGAAGGCTCCATAACCACTTCGCGGGGGCGCAATGCGATCTGGAGAAGGTAAGGGGGCGGGGGCTTTACTGCTTTGGGGTCGAAGAGCTTGCGATCGAGCCAGGCGCCCACTGCGGCGCCCACCATCCTCCAAGGCCTGCGCTGCACCTGGAAGGGTTTTTTCTTGAATGACCATAACATAAATATCAACCTTGAGTATAGGGATGTTTGCTTTTCTTGCTCTTGGGCTGATCTAAGATCTCCAAATAACTCCGCTAAATGACGGGAACCTTGCCAGGAGCTTGACCTTGAGGCACCACAGCTCCTAGCGAATCTCCTGTTCACTGCGGACCCCACACGGAGACACAGCTTTACATTAAACGTAGGACATCTAGCCTTGGCGGTCGCAGGCACACTTGACATGACGAAAACTGTGCATCGGCCTCCTACAAGTAACTCAGAAACGTACCTCGCAGTGAGTCCACAATATATGTTACATCCGCATCTTAAGTGAAACGCGGCAGCTGCCCGGCCCGTGTCTCAGCGTGAAAGCCCACATCACCAGAGGATGACTGGTGGATACCAAACTGAAGACAGTCTAGTGAAGATGGAGATCGACATATGAACAAGCGGAAGTACTTGACAATCGGAGACGGGATGAATCGAGAGCCATAGCCAGGTTGAATGAAGCGTGGGAGAAAGTGCTGTGTGGCGGGAGAAAGTGCTGTGTGGCGGGAGGAAACCCAGACCGGACCCCCTAAGAAGAACGTGACAACAAACTTTAGCAGTGTGAGACATCATATCCGGGAGTGAGGTCGCTTAGCCAACATGAAATCGGGTGCCAGTCCGTAGCGAGAAGACAGGACTTAGAAGAAAAACCAGCCGCTGCTGTGTAGGTGCCTCTGCGGTCATCCTACGGATTCCTTTTCACTGCGCCCACCTTCACCTCCGGCAAGCGCGAAACCCTGAACCGTACACTTGCACCAAACCTTGGAAACCCCGCAGCTTAAACCCACCTCCCACCTCCAGCAGCATACGCGCGGGGGCCTGAACAAAGAGCCCTTGTGCCCGGCCCTGTTGCATCTCGTAGTTCTGGCTCAGGATAGCAATCAGCCTTACTTGCTGAGTTCGGGGTTTTGGGGATTTGAGGCTGAGGATTTAAGGTTTTAAGGAGTCGGGTTGTGGGGATTTTGGGCGCTGCCTATACGGTTCAGCCTTGCTTGTGCGTTTGCTGTCCAAAAGTATGTGGCTAACCTTGAGCTGAGCTGGGTTTGTGTTACCAAAGATTTCGTTATAAACAAGAGGGTTAAAGGTGGCCTACCCAGCATCAGAGTAGCAGGTTCATGGGCAGCACCGTAATGCCGATCCCCGTGCCAAAGAAGCACAGCTGCAGGTAGATTTAAGGCCTGTAGGGACTCTTCGTGTCCTCTCCCACATCCTTCGGGCTGGGGTCATTCGGCGCCCACTCGCCCTCCACAAGCTGAAAGGTGGTGTCCTGGCCCTGGTATTCAAAGAGGTCAAAGTCCCCGAAGATGGCCAATCGTACCGTGTGCAGGAACGAAGAGTATATGGGGTACTCGTCCTCGCCTCGGGACGCATATTCGGGCTTTCGGGCTATATCCTTTAATGATACAGTATACACTAAGCCTTATACGACCTTATCATACCATGCCCTCAAACTTGAAGACTGTTCCTTACTTCGCCTCGAGGATTCATGATCACGTAGGCATGGGTCGCGCTTGCGACACAGAGGGAGGTGACGAAGAAGAACGCCCCGGTGTCTCGAACGGCTGACAGAATGGTTAGGAGGTAGGGCCCCATCCACCGCTCTCCACGAAGGCTGTACCTGCACTTCAAAAACGTACAACGTTAAGCTTCCCAAGTGCGAAATGATCACATGGCCTCTTAACAAACTGGTCTGTAGAAGCCTGGCAAGAAGATCGGCTCCAACTCGCCATCGCTGCAGCGATCCATCTGGCCGTAGATCGCGAAGAAGCCTGGATGCTGGCTAGCTAATGAAGCTGATCATAGGGGTTTGCAATATGGCTGCTTCTAACGAACTTGAACTATGGATGAAATAACATGTTTTCTTCTTCTGGTAATTAACTTGGATTAGGTTCCTCAACAAGAACCCAAGGGCCAGCTACCAAGAAGAGGACATCAACGAGAGTTTCCAAGCTGGGCGCAGGCTGCACAAAGAAGAGATCTACATCTCCCAGCAGCTTCATTTGCTTTCCATTCACGCGATCCACATGCCTGAATGTGTCAAGACATACTCAACGATTCGACATATTCAATATTTAAAATCAAGAGCCCACTGGCTCCATCATCCTCCAAAGATCACACAGTACAACCTCTGGAAGACACACGAGACACCCCTTGCTTTGGAAGTTCTTGCGTCTGTTGCGTCCGCGGGACAAACGGCCGCAGCTTTGGAAGTTCTTGCTAATGTTGCGTACGCGGGACACACGGCTCCAGCAGTAGACAACAAGCTGCCAGAGCAACTCCACAGCCTCTTTGAACTGTATGATTGCCAGGACCCATAGTGCTGGCCTCGTTTAAGGTTTTTGGGTGCTGGGCACATGACTGGACCCTTGCAGCATGACCAGAACCCTTGTTTTCAGTCTCTGCTTGATGAGACAAGGTCTGCACTTGGAATTCAAGTATCATGGGCGGCTCTCAACTCAAGGCAAACCGCTGGGGCATGGGCTGGGCATCCATGCGTTTGCGACACGCCCAAGTTACCAAACACAAACATCCCGAAGCGACGCAGTTCAGGAAACTGTCCACCGCGGTGGCCACTCGCATCTGGAGCCACACTGCTGCAGTGATGGCTTCCACAGCGTCTGTTTGTAGAGTCTCCTCGTTAGCGGTCTCTACCAGTGCTGCAAGAACTAATGGCTTGCATGCCAGAGGTGCTGCGATTGGCAGGCGCTGCAACGACACTTGTACTTTTGCAGCGTGGCGCATATTGTGCCAGCTCAGGTTGGCACGATATGCTTCCGGGTTTACACGGGCAGGACATGGGCCTGCAGGAACTTCTGCACCTGAGTGTCCGGTGCAAGATGGCTGCGCATAACGAAACTAGGAAACTGGAAGTGCGTGGCCGTATGTCGGCCGCTCCCATGCCGGAAAATCTGCCGGCTCAAGGCAGAGGCGCGGCTGGAGCAGCTTCCGCTTGCATTTGATTGGGGGAGGCATCAGCAGCGAAACGCCACACTGCAAAGCCCCCCACAAAAAATTTTCCATAAAGTTCTTGCTCGATGTTGCCGTTGAGACAAATTACTTCGCAGAGCGCAACACTTTGGTGTGTTACTACGATACTCACACAACATCTAGCATTCACGGAGATTTGGACAGCTATGGTGACCATTCTGATTGCGGTGCCAGTCCCAGCCGGCACTATGCTAGAGTTGCGACTAATGCAATACTCTGTTGTGTTGCTTGCTCCGCCGTCCTTACTGTTACCAAGCATAAGCAGTAATGCTTCACCTTACACTC